GTTTGTGGACACAGACCCATGGAAACCTCTACCAAAAGCAGTCAGTCTCACCACACTGGAGGGAGTAAGTATCCAGATCAAGGTGAGCTGAGTGTTACTGTTGGGACAGTATGTCCGGAATATACGGCAAACTCAGAAATGAAAAGCAGGACATTCACTAGGAAAAGTTATGAACCGATAGGAGGATCAGAGTTCATGGCATAGTGGACTTATAGTCAAGCCACCAAACAACCACAGACTCAAGCCCACTACAAAGGGCTCATCAGTCTGTTGAAGCGAATCAGAGCTGAGAAAAATGACTGAACTGTGGCTGTTCTTAAGAAAGAAAGCCTCGAACAAATTCGATTTTAAACTTTGCCTTCTGTATAGCAGTGCTGATCACAAGGAAAATTCCCATGACTAAAAATCCTCTGGGATTTTCCTCCATGAGAAAAAGATCCCAGGATGTGAGGGTCAGGTGGCCCCAGTTTGCCCGGCTCAGTGCAGTAAAGTTATCTAGTTGCCCACTACTCCTTTGACGAATAGAATAAAGTGAAAGCAGCATCTTATCCACATTGCAGGACAATCAGACACGTACTGAGACACAGGTGAAAAGAGAAATAAACCCAAACTCAGTCATGCCATGATCCTTTCCCTGTTTTTCAAAATTTCCTAGAACCTAGGCTGGTAAAAGGGACTTTGGAAAACGCAATGTGGGTGAGCCTGGTAATGCCCTCAGAGGCTGTGTAAGTAATTCTGTCCATATTCTGAGAAAGCAAAAGGGTGTGGAGAGAAGGAATTTCAGGGGAGAAGATTCTCATGAGAAAACATCACTTTTCTGAGAGTTGAATTCAGTGCCCAACAGGGGGCGTGGGCTGTGTGCAACAGAAAAATAAATGAACGTAAGGACAACAGGGTCACGAGGATATTACCAGGCAAGAAAGGGAGAGAGTTTATGCGGCTGCCACAGTGGGAGGCTTCAGTGGAGAGAGATCTTTGGGAAATGCTGTAGGTGGTACATCATGAACCTCCAGGAGTTGTGTGATGACCATTTACAGCATTCTTCTTGGCTTTGGGATGTATCTTTGAAGGGAACACCATGCAGAGCCTGGCCCTAGATAGAGCCAGCTGTATTCAGGTGACAGTTCAAGCATGAGAAGAGTCCTTGATTGTCACTAACCTGAGATAGGTTGACTGTGAAATGCAAAGTGAATGATTTCAATGCTGATTATAGTGATTCACGCATTTTGTTCTCTATTTGAAAAACTGAAATATTACAAGGCTTTAAAAAGCATCTAATCTTTCTTTCTCCCAAGAAAATTTGATCGACCCATTCTAGAGAAGAGATCCAAATTTTCACAAAGATAGCCTAAATCTGTCCTTAGTTGTACATCAGTGTTGAACTTCCGGTGAGTGAATAACACGTATAACCCAATTCTGTTCAACTGTATTCAAGCCATCTGAAATGAATCCAAGTTCTCTGTGGGATCACAGAACTGCAGCGCATTATCATTTAATTTCTCTCTTGGACTGAACAAACCTTATTCAAGGACTAAGGCAAAGAAAAAGTTGCCCATCACTTTTCTGAAATATTTTCCACAGTTTTAGGGTTGAAGACTGGTGGACACGGCTCTATCACTAATCTGGCAAAATGTCCAAACTTCCAGACAGTTGAGCTGGAGCAGAATGGCGGTGCAAGGGCATCTATGTGGTTTGAAGCCCTGGATTTTCTTATCAAAACATTTTGTACTTGCTTCTTTTGCTCTACAAATTCTACCTAAAACAAATATCTTCCTACTTTCTAATTTTAACACACAGCAATCCATACACATAAGCAACTTTTGATTTTAATCGTCACCCGAGGATATGTTTTTCATTGATTCTAGAGAGAGGGGAAAGGAGAGGGAGAGAGAAACACAACGCCATTGGTTGCTTCCTGCATGTGCCCCAGCTGGGGATCGAACCCAGAATCTGGGCATGTGCCCTGATCGGGAACCAAACCCGTTGACCTTTCGGTGCACAGGATAACACACTAACCAACTGAGCCACACCAGCCAGGGCCACATAAGGCATTTTTATTGATCATTTGATTTTGGAATGTTTTGTCTAAAAATAATAAAATAGAACTAGAAATTTATTTGCATTAATCAGAACATATAAACCTATGTGTATTTCATCTATATAAAATATTCAATATGATGATGATAAGAAAGTTTTAGCAAAAATATTAAGCATATATTGTAGGAAGTGATAGTACTCTAAAAGTAAAACAGTAATTAAATAATAAACAAACCTTTTCTGTCAAAATACGGAATACCGGAAAAAGGAAGCAGGCAGAGAGGGCCCAGACAGTGCTTTTTTGTTGTTGTTGTTCAGATAGAGTGGGAGGGAGAGAGAGGAATAGAGAGAGAGAAACATCGATGTGAAAGGGACACATCGAGTGGCAGCCACCCGCACGACCAACCAGGGCCGGGGACAAACTGCAACCGCAGTATGTGCCCTTAGCGGGAACCGAACCCGGGTCTCTCCAGACCTCAGGAGGACGCTCCAACCGCTGAGCCAAACCGGCCCGGGCCCAGACAGTGCTTTGTGGAAGTGGCTGTTGGGGGGGCCTGAGGGATGGTGAAAGGGGGAGGGGTGATTACAATAAGGAAAATAGAACCTAGGGAAGAAGAAGCTTTCCTCACCCAGCTAGTCTCAAGTTGTGGTTAGTACCTGAGTAGAATCGAGGCAAAATGAAAGGAAATCTTTACAAACCTTAATGAGAATCTAATACATAAAACCCACCTTAGTTATACAGGAGTTGGCAGCAGTCTGCTTGATTGGGTGGAAACTGGCTCAAAATAGGGCCTGGGATGGGGCCGGTGACCTGGCCAGTGCCACGGTGAGCCTGCTTCCGGCCCACTAGGATCCTGCCTTTTCGAGATCCAGTGTATCCTTAGTGATGTCCCCACCTCGCGTTGGCAGGTAAGCCAACTGCATGTAACTTCACTCACGTGCAGAGCAATATCCTTGTCCTTCGGAAACTTTCATCAAGTTATCTTTAGGATTTCTGGGGGGTCCTATTGGCCCGGGCCAAATAAGAGTTCTGAATATTTGGTTTTACTTATTTTTAAAAGTTAACTACCATTCATTTTTCACAGTGAAAATCATCATTGAAATTGCTTTTTCATAGTAAGCAGCAATTCATAAAATAATTTGTTGATAGCGACATCGTTGTTTTTACTGCTCCATGCAGCTAGGCACCAAGAACTCCTAACCCAAGACTCCAGCTAGGCCAGTGAGGATCCATTGAGGCCCAACAGTTACCTGGAGATGGTCTCTGGTCTGCAACTGCCAGTGCAGAGCAGGGGGAGGCTCAGATCCTGTCACCTCTGAGCTGCAGTGGCTTCCCGTTGGCTACAGGACAATTCTGAATCTGCTTAGCATTGTGTATGAAGCAGGTGTTACTCTGGACCCCACTGGTTATTCATCGAACCCCTGTCCTCCGTGCCAGGCCCAGGGAACAGGTGGTATTCCTTAAGCCTGAACCATTTTTCTCCCACCGCCTACTTTTCCTTCAAATACTAATGTAGGCTTCCTGACTGATTCCCCAAGTCCAGTTCAGGAACTGTGTTAAGACAATAAAAGAACTCAGGGGCAAAGTGTGTTGGGGAAAATTAAACATTACTATCCATCTTTCCCTTTTCATTTTAGTCCTCTATTGTGCAAATCCATTGTGTTTGTAAAATAAAATGGCAGAGTCAAAACCTTTGGCTGGGTAGACCCTACTATAAACCTGTAACATTTGAGGTTTGGAGAACAGTGAAGTCATCTCATTTGTCCACCGCCCCCCCAAGTATTACAAATGAGAGAGGCAATGGAAAAGGAAGGAGGTAATGAAAGGGCTAATAGGAAAACATAATTGCGTGGTCTGGATTACTCCACCATGAGACATTATGAAAATGTTCCTTCAATGAAACTCAGCATGTATAGGTAATGGCTGTATTATTAATTTAAAGCTGCAATACTTCTGAATAATATATATTAAATATCCTCAATTTATAATCTAGGAATTGAGAAAACACAGGTTCTATTATCAGTTGGGCACAGGTAAGAATAAAAATTGGGAACGCAAGTAAAAGAGAAATCATTTAAAAATCATCACCTAATTATTACATGGTAACTTATTAAAGGGTATTTCTTGGTTCTAGTTCATAAATTTCTTAGTAAAAGCTCTGCTATATCTTTTTTAATAAAAAAGATTTGTATCTTTAGGTACTAGAATCGAAGAAAAACAGTAGAATTTAGAATATTAATTCCTACTGTGATAATTCTAAATAAAGCCTCCCCCCACATTCCTATATATCTTACATTGATACACTATATACTTGATGTATTTTATTTTTGCCTATGATCATTCTTTATTCTTACTAAATAAATGATTGACTTGATATGAGTGTATAAACTCAAAGATATATTCTTTTAAACCCTATATACAACACACATATATATTATCCTGAACTGAACTTTCTTTACTACATTTTATTTGGCCAATCAGATTGGAAAAAAAAAATTAGCAAATGTATAAAAAAATTATACATTTTAAATAATGGCCGCTTTAGCATAATTTATTGTAATTAATAATAATTAACATGTTTTTAAAAATTAATTGTTTATACCACAAATGGTTAAAAATAGCAAAAATTATAAATGAAAACAGTAAAGTGTAATAAACTATAACTATAAAGTATACTAAAGAGAATTTTCACATGCAATCAATATTTACCGTGTATTAATGTGCATAATAAGAGCTCTTTTTATAAGACCTCTTTCCCAAGACAACTTTTAAAAGGCTTCTAAAAATTATTTTAACATGGAAAATTAAAAGTGTGATTTGGTTAACTATCATTAGTCTAAGGTATAAGACTAATGTTTCAAGAGAAGGATCACAACAGTTCTGGTGAAAGATGCATTTCCTGTTAGGGTCTCTTGTGCATGATCGTGATGGGGTGAGGTTTTCCACAGGCCGCTGTGCTTACCTCCACATCTTGGAATGGGTCCACTCCACATCACCTTTCCGTCCATAAGAATGCATGTAATTGTTTCTGTTCCCTGGGTTTTAATAAATCCTTCTTCACAAATAACCGAAATCGAGCTCCCTAATTGGAAGTTGTCCCCAAACCGCCGGGCATTGATCGGTATTCCAGGATCGGGACACTCGTTGTGTCCAAACGCTTAAGAACAGCAAACGGAAACATACAAACGGTATGAGAGAATTGCTTGTGCATTTGGGGTGAGAAAAAGTGATTTTTAAAAAAAACGTTGCATTGATTTCTAGAAAAGCATTTATCTAAAAAATATTGGAGGCTTTCCTCTGCCCAATCTCATTTGCCTGTGACGTGTATTAGGTGTGATTGTTATACGATATTAGTTTCACAAGATTTCAAAATAGAACTGCTTCTGCTTATTTCTGGTCAGTATTAGGCTTAGTCTATGCAAAAATTTCCAGTAGAAGCTAGTCAGAAGTCCAATTAATGTGAATACAGAATAGGTTAACTATATTCACTATGGCAGACTTTCCTTATGATTCACTGTTTGGAATGAAGAAATAGTCTCATTGTGGGAATTAGAGTGAAATGTTTCAATCTAGCATGAAGGTCTGACAATTTCTTTATCATTTTCCATATGTCACCTACTTTCTGCCAGCTAGGAAAAGGGAAGAAAGATAACTCTTTGCAATTACCATGTTTCAGGAAGTGTGATAGGAGTTTTAGAAATGGTATTATCTCACTTAACATTTAGAACAGCCTGATGAGCAAAGTATTGCCACTTACTTTGTAAGATTCAGAAAAAGTTAACTAGCTTGCCTCAGAGCATAGAGATAGGATTGAAATGCCTCTCCTGGTCTGGCTTTTCATTTTTTCTCAACAACATATTGTATCTTGAGTTATTTGTCTCACGTCTGTCTCTCAAGAGATTGTGAGTTCTTGAATTCAGAGCCCTGTTCTTTATTACCTTGCGTCTCCCACAGAGTATATTTTTTAGCCCAGGCCCAGCAAGTAGCAAAAGTAGAATGACAATGAGCTTTTTTGAATTTCTCAGAGCCTATAGATTGTACGTGCCCTACACATTTTTCTCCTAATTGATCTGGATGATGCAGATAAATATGCACTATAACATTTTAAATTAGTATAATATGAATGGAAGAATATTTAAAGTAGCAAAGTTTAAATGTATAAATGTAAAATATTTATAATTTAACATTTTTATATTCATGCATATATAGGCACATGCAGTTATTTTAAATATTCTCACTAATTGTCACTTTGATATTGTTCATAAATTATATGATTTTATTATCCATTCTCATTTTTAACTTAAATAGTATAAAATAATGTTAAAATGAATTCTATAATATATAAAATATATATTATTAGGTACACATATCTAATCAGTGTTTTCCGTGTGCTTTTAAACACAATTTTGATTAAGACTACTTGTTTCTATATAAAATTCCTGATAAATATTTTTTTCAGGAAAACAATAATAATTTCAGTAAGCATTAAATATAAGGATTTACATATGATGAATTAAATTATTTACTACATAAACAAAATAAGGAACAAGAAAGCATATTTCCATAATACCCCGAAGGTACCAAAACATTAAAGTTAAAAATACACATTTAAGACAAAGTGAAAATTGTAAATAGATAGGTGCATCCATCTATCTATCTATCATCTATCTATCTATCTATTTTAAAAAGGACTTTTAGATGATAAAGTCCAAATTTAAATAGCAAGTCTCTATGACACATGACACAGCCAATTTAATGATATGTAATTACATGTTGACACTTATTAGCTACAGTATTCACCACCTGTGACACTTTGAAAAGACAATACCTGTGTTTTATTACTAATTGCTAGAACTCACCATTGAATGGACAGGGACCTGGGGAGGGGATGCAATTCTTTTTTAAAGAGCAGAAAACTAAATCCTATTGTTTCATCACACTTAAATATCCATTTGTCAAGTTGGTCAATATCTGACATTGTGGTAGTTTCAAGGAAAAACAATAAAAATCTATAGCTTCAGGTAAAACATTTACAAACAGAAGCATTAGTATCTAAGTGTGTTAATCTACTAAGATATTTTTTCTTTTATGTAATTCATCCTTTGGCTATATTTATGTTATTTTTTTCTGAAAAATAATAATTCTTTAGAAATGCAAGAATATGAGTGCTAAATGACCCCATAGACATCTGAAATCTGGAGCAATATAATAAACAAAATAATATACTATCAAATGTCAAGGTAATATTCCAAAAGCCTACTAAACAGTAAGGGCTGATGTTTTTTGATAATTTATTAGGTCCCATATACTCTATGCTAAAGTGTTTACATGCATTGCCTATTTTACTCCTTGCAGAAACCCAATATGGTTCCACTGATGAGGACACTGAGACTGTTATTAAACCTAAAAATGTAGAAAAGCCAAGACTTGAAGCTGCATAGTTTCACTTTAGAGCTGATATTCTGAACCACTATGGAATTTCTCCCACTTGATGACTTTGCTGTATCAGCTCAGTGGTCTACTGCCCCTAAATTAATGATTTCCTTCTTTGTGATGTTTCCTTAGCCTTGTATATTTGTCATTGGAATTATAATTCTGTGTTATTATTATTTGTTAATGTCTCCCATTGTTTTATTAATATCTTGAAGGAAAGTTCTATCTCCATTTTATGTTTGCATAAAAACAGAGCAAAACTTTTGATATATAGTAGGTTCGAGGTTATACTTACAAGACTTAATAAAATAAGCTAACATATTGGCTGCTATGATAATGATATTTGAAACATATTCCCTTGATATTAGGCCTCTCATAAATGAAGAAATGATGCAATAGGCAGAAAAATATGGTCAGAAATCAAGGATCAAATAAATGAACATCCCTGGCACAATTATATGTATTACTTGTTCAAGTTTCCTTATGTATGGAACAATAGAGCTGATTTGCATGACTCTTTTCTAGCTCTACTTTGTAGAAATATGTTATACAAGAAAAATCAACTTACTGTTGTAAGTGATGTTAAAGCCACGTCCCGACATTGAATGGTCAGCTTGAAACTCCAGTCTCAGTATATGACGATTACTAGTAAGATGGGAAGGCACCTCAGCCCCGGTAAAGGTCCCGAGAATTGGGGAGTCTGGAGAGTCCCCATCTTTAACAGCAAGGAAGTCAAATTGAGATTCCAGATCAAAGTCATTAAAAGAAAGGTGTATCCGACTCCCTGGATCAGAGATTATTGTCCAGATGCAGTTTAAATTATTTCCATATCCTTCTGGGTAATCAGGAGAAAGGACTGTTCCCATTGGTGCAGTAAAGTTAGAGAGGCAAGGAACTGTTAAAATAAGATTATAAAACATAATATTTCACCTTATTTTTTCATATCCTATAATTATGATAATCAATTACAGTTTAAAAAAGTAATATTAACAATTTAAATTATAAGCTAGAAAATAAAAGTTACTATTTTTACATATTAGAAAAGGCAACTAATAAATTGGGTGACTGTATGCTTAATATGCACAAAAATGTAATTGGAGCAATCAGAGCGATTTATTTAGACATTTATCATGCTTGTGTTAGAGTGCTGTGCAAAGTTTTTGTTCCTGACAATATTAGAGAAACATTTAGAGATTTCATAGAAAGCAATAATGCTCATAAAATGATGGAAGACAAAACAATTATATGACTATTAATAGAAATGAGATGATGTAGTCCCAGGAAAGTGGAATAAGAGTGGGACTTGGTGATTTTATTCCTACAGTGGTCGTGGGATGCTCTGATAGTTTATAACACAGATAAGTAGATGAATTAACTATTATAATTGCCACCCCCGTAGCTAAAACTAGAAAAAACAAGCAAACTTACACTATACTAAGTCTAAGTCCCTACCCACCTCCAGTTTTCTTTATTTAACATTTAAAAACATCTGACTTAAAGGTTCACATAGAATATTTAGAAAGCAGAAGAGGGATAAAGAAATAGAGAACTAAATGATCACAGAGAAGAAAGCAGTTAAAATAATAATGTATTTTCTTCCAGTTTTTATTACAAGTTTTTAACAAAATTGGTTTCATACAATTTTGGACCAAATTTTATTTACAAAGGGTATGAACTTAATGCCTCAAAATATATTGCTAAATTTCTGCCTATCAAAGCTGCATTAATTTATACTGAAATGTAGCAACTATATTAGTGAGCACAACACTGCTCTCAGCATAGAACAGTGTGACTATTTTGCCTTTCATAGTTGATAGAAAAGTTATATCTCATTTTACAAATTTTCACTTCTTTTCCTACTAGTGAGGTTGAAGATTTCTCATGTTTGTTTTCCACTTGTATTTCCTCTCTTTGGGGAATTACCTGTTCATAAACTCTGAACATTTAAGATTATGAACTCAGTTTATAATATGCACACAATATTACAATGCATACAATTTTTTATTTTTAATAATATTTTAGTATAAATAATTTGTTTTAACTTGAGTATTAAAATAATTTTTGCATTTTTTCTTCCTTTTAAATTTAGATTGTTTTTATTAACATTAAAAAATCAGTCCAATTTCTATCTCTCTACAGAATTAGAAAGACAAAGATTAGGTTATATCTACATATACTTAGAATATGTAAAAGAATAATTAAAAATATATAAATGATCAAATTTATCATTTTTTATTTTACTATTTTTTTAATCCTTACCCAAGAACATTTTTTCAAATATCTTCATATCGGGGGGCGGGGTGGGGGGGCGGTGGTGTAGAGAATCATCAATGTGCGAGAAACACATCGATTGGCTGCCTCCCGCATGACCCTGAACAGGCCGGGACGAACCACAACCAAGGTACGTGCCCTTGACTGGGATGAAACTTGCAACTCTTTGGTCCAGGAGCTGAGGCTCTAACTGCTGAACCAAACTGGCCAGGGCTATCATTTTTTATATCTACTTTCTAACTTCAACTTGTTTTGTTTTTTTTTGGATAAAATGATGTGAAAAATTAAAACCAAGACTTGGAAACTGACCACCATTGGGCTGAATCCGGACTATAGATGTGTTTGATTTGATTTTTTTATGCCTCAATAAACATTTAAAATCATCATATTTCACACTCAAGGGGGGAAATCTGGAGTTCTAGCATCTCTAACACACCACAGTTCCCTCCCATTTCCTGTTGCCTCTTCCCCTTTACCTGGCTGCATTCTAAGGTCATTTGACTATAACCCTTGATCTACGATAAGGGACAGCAAGCTTTTTCTGTGAAGGAACAGATAGAGAGTAGGTGCTTTGCTCATACATCCACATGGTCTCTTTTGTAACTACTTAACTCCGCCACTGTAGCAGGAAAGCAGCCTTGGACAACAGGTAAATGAAAGTAAGTGGTTGTGTGACCATGAAACTTTATTACAAAACTAGGTTTCAGGCTAGATTTGGCCCACAGTCCTCAGTTTGTCAATCTCTGATCAAAATGATCCCCACTGGGGGCAAGAGCCATCCCAAGTTGACCATGCTAATCTCCCTGATCAGAAAAATAGGGAGATGTCTACCTAACAAAGTAGTTCCCCCATATCCTCGGTTTCATTTTCCAGGTTTCTGTTACACACAGTCAATCGTGGTTTGCAAATATTAAATGGAAAATTCCAGAATTAAACAATCCATAAGTTTTAAATTGTAGGCCATTATGAGTAGTGTGGTGAAGTCTCATGCAGTCCTAGTCCAGCCAGCCAGGGATGTGAATCATCCCTTTGTCCCACTGATCACGCTGTTATATGCTACCCACCCATGAGTCACTTAATAGCCTTCTTGGTTATCAGATACATTGTCTAGGTGTTAGTACCATAGTGCTTGAGTTCAAATTGTCCTTATTCTTCTTAATAATGATCTCAGAACACAAGAGTAGTGACGCTGGCAATGCTGATAGGCCAAAGAGAAGCCATAAAGTGCTTCTTTTAAGTGGAAAGATGAGTATAATACAATAAGATATTTTGAGAGACCACATTCACGTAACTTTTACTATGTGTCATTATGTTACAATTATTTTATTTTATTTATTTATGTATTTTTAAATGCTTTTTATTGGCTTTTTAAAGAGTGAGGAAGAGAGAGAGAGATAGAAACATCTATGTGAGAGAGAAACATCGCTCAGCTGCCTCATGCATGCCCCCTACTGGGGATCAATCCCTCAACCCAGGCATGTGCCCTGACCAGGAATTGAACCAGGACCTCTCAGTCCATGGGACAATGCTCAATCCACTGAGCCACACCAGTGGGGCTATTCTATTTTATTATTAGTTATTGTTAATCTCTTACTGTGCCTAATTTACCAATTAAACTTTATCATAGGGATGTATGTATAGAAAAAACAAATATATAGGGCTCAGTACTGTCCATGGTTTCATGCATCCTTTGGGGGTCTTGGAACATATCACCACTCAGATAAGGGGGGCTACTGCACTCTAAACCCTTACTTATACTAGATGCAGTTTTTATGTAACCCTTTGACCCAGTGTTATATTTCTGTAACCACCACACTAGTTCTATGGTAATAAAATGCTTTAGTATCCACATAAGCATCTTTATTGTCCATATAAACTTGGTACCCACATAAACATCTATTCTCATCTGTTTTTTTTTTTAATCTAGCTGCATGCCAATACATTAGATCAAGTTCCCCCAAAAAGTATTTTAGAAATTTTTATTGAAATTTCAAAGCAATTTCTATATAATTCACATATTTATTATACTGTTTTCTCATTGAGGAACATGGTTTCTATATATATTTTTCTCTTAATTTCCTTTTCTCAATAAGTTCTTAAGTTTTTTTCTATGAATTATTTGGCTTTATGTAAGGATTATTTATTTTTTCAAATAACTTTATCTTTTGAATAAATTCTTTTTCAATTACACTTTTAAATTACCTGTTATTGATATATTAGACAACTATTAATTGTCATATATATCAGGATAAAAGACTTAATTTTCTTTAAAATAGTAAAAAGTGTTGTCTACATTTTCAAGAATTTCAAAATTTGTTTTAGTCAGCATTTTAAATATTTTATTAAATGCATTTTATTATTTATTGAAATTATATACTATTATTTTATGTAATATATTACATTAATTGAGTCTTCAATATTACACCAACATGGTGTCCTTGGAAGAACACCTAGAACTAAAGATCTTCAAGTAAAGTTTTTTGAAGTATTACTCAGTTTTCGATGATGCTGACATAATCGAATCAAACTCTCTTAACGTATTTTATTTTCCCAAAACAAGAACTTCCCTAGGTGATCTTGGTTAGAAATAAGCTCTGTTCTTAGGCTAAAAAAGTTCTAATTAGGGTGAGTGGGTGGGGGGTCTGTGCAATCATCGTCTCCTAGATTTCCTGAAGAACAAACAATATATATTGTAACTAGGGACATTTCTGCCAGATTCTAAAAATGCCCACTTTATTGAAATGTAAGATAAGTTATCATGGCAATATGTATCTAGAACACTAGAATAAGAAACATTAATGTCTGCTATTTTCCATATTCCTTTTTTAACTAGGATATAAATATATATATATATATATATATATATATATATATATATATATTAGAAAATGTTTGGCCTCTATTTACTTTAAAAGTTCTGTTACATCTTTTAAAATGTTAAATAATCAACATTTTTAATAATGGAAAATGTATTTTGAAGCATATATTATAATTCAGATAAGGTGTAGGTCTTGAAAAATGCTACTTTTTGTAAACCAGGAAATATTGAAGTAAGGTTTGTGCTAATATCTTTGCAGGAAGTACAGGATTTCACAAATAAAAAGCATTATCATTATTGGATACGGGTGAAAAGTCTTATATTGAAAAACCAGAAGATTATTTTTACTTTATGAATATTGGCTTACATGTTTTCACTTGTGAATGTTAAAAATTAAAATTTTCAATTTTCAGTATGGCAATCACACCTGGCAAGTTGCATTTGTTGGTAATGAAGATAGTATTTAATTGAACCTAAATATGCCTCAGTATATAATATGTTATATTTTTGTTGCAGTTAAATTGAAATGTTTTAATGTATTTGAAGAACCATGTCCTTTTAATCCAAGCATAAACATTAATGAATTTTATTCTGTGCAATATAAATAAATGACATTTTAAGTCTGCATTAGTGTGAGCATCTACAAACAATAATAAGTTAATGCATTAAACACAGAATATAAGCTTTAAGTATTTTGTGTTTGATTGCAACTAAACATGTACTATCTTGTTAAAATAAATGAGTTTATTAGAATTAGCTCAGATGTATAATTTCTATAAAAAGTATGCTATCTATAAAATATAAAATGCCATCCATAAAGTACTACCGGAAGACATGTAACATATACTTTGCAATTACTGAGTGAACTTTGTTAACTTTATTTAAATCTATAATGAAATTTATAATTTGGCATAAACACACTTGTCAAAGATAGTATCACAAAGTGCTACTCATTCAAAAATAATTACACGGTTCCAGCTCTTTGCAATTAATTACAAAAGCAATTATATGCAAGGACAGGGTAACATATGCTGTCTGGAAGCAAAGCATTTGGTACTCACAGATACAGATGGGTATGTTTGCAGACCATTGGTTATTCTCTTGACAAACAATGGATTTTTCTCCAATTAATTCAAACCCAAACTGGCATTCAAACCTTAAAACATCACGATTAGAAAATCCATCGCCTTCTCTAATTCCATATAAAGGTGTACCAGGATCTCCACAACTTTCTTTTTCAATTTCTGTAAAACATAAGATTAGAGTCATTTTTCACTGCTTCTTGGCCTTTTGGCTAAGATCAAGTGTAAAGTCATTTTTTGAAGGTTTCAGGTATTTGATATCCGTACATCCAGCTTAGTTCATATATGTACACTCTCCAGAGCTAAGATATCTTAGAGTAAAAAGATGAAAATGTTCTCCAGTATTATTTTTTTCTTTCGCTACTCTTGATCTGATTCAATGAAACGATCAATAGAAAATAATTAGTGTATTTATCTCATTTTGAGGATACTGAGGTCCTCAGAGCTATTGTGCCTATTCCAATCAGAAGAGTTATGACAAAATTCAGATTTTCTGTCTGTACTGTATACTCATCTACACACACATGCACACAGGGTGTGGCAAAAGTAGGGCTGCAGTTGCAAGTACGGAAAATAGAGTTTATTCTTGTATTATCACTTACTAATGTTATTCTATTATTTTCCATACGAACAACTGTAACCTTACGTTTGCCCCATCTTGTACATATGTATTTTCTCCAAAGCCCACAGACTTTTGTTATTTTTCTAATCTGCACACGCTACAGTAAATCGGTCAGGACGGAGTAGCATCTGCATCTCTGCGCTCCCAGGGCATCAGTAAACCTTTCACAGGTGCCCGCCACGCTCCCCGACACAGGTTGGTTGAACTACTTCTCCAGTGAGACCCGGCTCCCAACAGACTACGTAGGGCAGGAATCAATTTTGTGTTGCAACTTATCCAGATACAGTCCTCAATACATTATTTTTTTTTTTTTTGGATGAGTTAAATTGAAGAGATTGGAAAGTTTTTCTTAAGGATTTTTTTTTACACATATTCAAAGAAATTCAAATATCTAGAATCTTCACTGTGAAGCAGTAGTAAGTTATTGTGGTCATATGGTTTTTAAGTCACATGAAATCACACTATTACAGGTATTCTCAAACAAACAACAATAAAAATTTTAAATTAAAATAAAAAATAAAACTGAGATAAAGTTATACCCTCTTACGACACCCCAACAATCATTCTGGTCTTCTGTAATTACCATGACAATTTGACCTATACCTTTCCAGTTCATTCCCTATGCCTTTATACACAGACATATATAGTATATAATATTATAAAAGCATCTGTATTGTCCTGGCCAGTTTGACTCAGCGATTAGAGCGTCGGCCTGCGGTCCGGAGAGACCCGGGTTCGGTTCCCGCTAAGGGCACGTACCTCGGTTGCAGTTTGTCCCCGGCCCTGGTTGGTCGTGTGGGTGGCAGCCACTCGATGTGTCCCTTTCACATCGATGTTTCTCTCTCTTTCTCCCTTCCTCTCTCTCCCTCCCATTCTATCTGTACAAAAAATGGAAAAATATCCTCGGGTGAGAATAAAAAAAAAGCATCTGTATTTATGAAAATATAAAGATCGTTTCCACAAAAACTATGTAGCATTGTTCCATATATATTATTCTTTTTTTTTTTTTTTTTTATCCTCACCCAGGGACATTTTTCCATTTTTTGTTCAGATAGAGCAGGAGGGAGAGAGAGGAAGAGAGAGAGAGAGAGAGAGAGAGAAACATCGATGTGAAGGGACACATCGAGTGGCTGCCACCTGCACGACCAACCAGGGCCGGGGACAAACTGCAACCGAGGTACGTGCCCTTAGCGGGAACCGAACCCGGGTCTCTCTGGACCGCAGGCCGACGCTCTAACCGCTGAGCCAAACCGGCCAGGGCCATATATATTATTCTTTACATTGTATGATACCATCAACACCATTCTATAACTTGCTTTTTTCTTTTTACCAAACAATAATTTTGGAGATATTTTTTGAACACCTTGAATCCTTAGTAAACATTATGGATGGGTATTCCTTTAATACACTGGATTTTTTTTTCTGTTATATATATTTTTATATATGATATAGTGACATTGATCTATAGTATTTACCCAGATTTAATATCAAGGTAAGAGACTAGTGATTTCCCAATTTTCACTACTTTCACACTAGTTTTTATAACAAGAAAATTTGGATCCTTCAGTGTTAGAACTTGCCAAAAAAAAAAAAAAGCTGGCGGAATCTGGTATAATTTTGAGGTAGATATCTGACTACCATTTCAATCTCCTCTAAAGTTATTTTCCTATTGAAGGATTTTGTGTGTGTGTGTGTGTGTGTGTGTGTGTGGCGGGGTGCAATGTTGTCAATTTAGAGAAGTGACTTTTCCAAGGTTTTCCAGTTAGTAGTAATGGATTTGTGTTATAGGATTTTAAGATATCTCTTTATAAATTTCTCATAAGCTTTATTGCTCCTAGCTATTTATTTGTGATTAGTCCTCCTGTTTCCTTTGTTCATACCTACGAAGTGTTGTCAAATGTATTAGTCTATGCAAAGAACCAGCTTTTGCCGATCACTTATACTGTTTTGATGTTATTTAAACATCTTTTCTTTTTTATATTTTTGGATTTCATCTTCATCTCTCTTTTGCATTATTTTGTTGTTCTTTTTCTAGTTTCGGGAGCTGAAATCTTAGTGTTTATTTTATTTTTATTATTAGTTTATTTTCAGACTTTCTTGTTTACTTAAAAAATAAACTTGAATCTATACATTTTCTCAGAGCACTGCTTTGATACAGAAAGCTTTTTTGTTCACTTTTAAATAGTTTGTAATTTCCATTTTGATTTCCTCTTTAATTCATAAGTAATTTCAAAGTGTAAATTTATGGGTTGGGGCTTTCATTTTGTTGTTGATTTCTAATGCTTTAGTATTCAGTATAAAAATATCCAGGTCTCACAGTAGATAAATCAGTTAAATGTATTCAATTCAATTTGTTATATTTGTCAAATGGAAATTATGTATGGCCTTAATTCTTTTTTGTCTACCCTCTCGGACAATTTCGGAGAGAACCATGCTCCATTTCCAAACAGAGTGTGAATTCTACATCTTGTACTTGAAACAAGTCTACTTCCAAAGCAATATATTTTGCAATATATTTGGTGAAACATAGTGGTAGTTAAGCCTACAATGAAAGGTGCAGGAGGAAGTAGTTTAGGGAGGAACAAAACTCTTGGTTTTAAGAAAGCTATCAAATGTGTTTACTTCTCTACAGCTAGAGTTATAGTTACAATTCTTCATCCTTAGTTGGGGAGAACTCCCGCCTGATAACTGCACTGGACTTTCATTCCATGTCTGGGCATTTGTACTGTAGTGGAAACATTTTTCTCTGTAGCAATTACTACAGTCTCCTCCCTTCCATAAAAACTTAAGCTTGCAAGCAGTTACTTGTTCCTTTCTTTGGGCTTAGTGAATACTTACATTGGTCCATATATTTTACTATAATTATTAATTATTGATCTGTCTCTTCCTGTGAGCTTTATTGACTTTTGCATTTCAAGTGTCTACACATTTGGTGACAACAAACATTTATGCATCAATTATGTGTCAGGCAAAGTTCCAAGCACTTGTTGCATTTAATCCTGACACAGTCTTATGAGGACCCAATGAGATAACCTGCCTAAAGTCACACATGTTTTAAGTGACAAGAACTGGATTTGAACCCAGATGGTATGATTCCAGAATATGAGTTCTTAAGCACTATACCCTCTCTCAGAGCCTAATCTTCAAGAATAGTTGTGGAATATATGAAGAAGGAAGGAAGGAAGGCAATAAGAATTATCATACAAAAGTATGTAGCTCTAGTAGTAAACAATATAAGCCATGAAAAATTCATGTAGTTACACAGAACTACATAGATAGAAAATCATAAAATGACACAGTTACATCTTTTTTTTTTTTTATCCTCTCCTGAGGACATTTCTGCATGTATGTTTAGATGGAGCAGGAGGGAGAGAGGGAGGAAGTGAGCGAGAGAGACACATCGAGTGGCTGCCACCCACACGACCCCAACCGAGACCAGGGACAAACTGCAACCGAGGTACGTGCCCTTAGCAGGAACCGAACCCAGGACTCTCCAGTTTGCAGTTCGACGCTCCAACCGCTGAGCCAAACTGGCCAGGGCCACAGTTACATCTTTTGAATCACTTAAATTTTATAATTGTTTTATTATTGTAGGCTATGAGTGTTAGATATTTTCCATTTACCCCTCAAGAACCGTTCTCCACCCTTTTCTGCCCTGCTTTTTGCCCCCCTCCCCAAGAGTGGGAGAGAAGGATGACCCACAAGGACCCATGACGGGCTCCTACGCTACTTGAGGGCTGTGCGCGATAGGTGGTCAGGGAACAGGCGGCCCTGGCAGGAGGTCAGGAGAAGAGCGCAGGAGGGTATTTCCCCTCGTTTTCTTCTCTGACTGCTCACCTTGGGTTAGATATGTCCTCATACTGAAAGCCAAGCTTATTTCGGGCAGCCCCTCCATACAGCTGCCCCGGGGGCTGTGGTTCTCAATGAGAAGGTGACGGGGCTCCCCACTATCCTCGGCAGGAATACTGTGTAACGCCTTGTTGGTTTCCTTAAGCTCTGCTCACACATACCCGATATGAAGGTGAATTTGTTACCTACAACTTCCCTGATTGATACTAAATAATTTACCATTGAAATCTCAATAGAACACAAAAATAATTTAGTTCGCATCCTACTGATATTTTACTTTATTATCTTACGATAGTTTGTTTTCTAGAACATAAAATGGGGCTGTGACTCCATTAACAAGTGTTGCGTCTATTGGGAATCAGGTAAATACTATGCACCCTTCACAACTAAATTGGGAAGGAACCAAGTAAGTATCTGTTCACAGAGTCAGAGGCTAGTGCATCTGGAATAGCACCTGGTTCTGCTCTTTTTCTTCCCTGCTGTGGAGGAAAAGAAACCAGAAGCTGAGGAAGAGGTGCTATAATAAGTGAGGACGGGAGATTAGAGGAAATATAGGCAGTACACTCCAGAAGGCTCTCCCGCAGTGAGTTGAGAACAAAATTGAAAAACAGGTTTAAATGACAGTGGCTGAAAGTTGTACGACAGGACTCTTTCAACACCTTTTTTTTTTTCTTTAGTGACCAAGTAACTT